CAAACTGCCTGGACTGCTTTGATTTTGAGAGGCAGTTCAGCATTGCTGCATCGTCATGTTCTAGAGGGAAAAGTAAACTTATGGCTGGGGAGTACACTGGCTTATGTAATACATAGGCTTTGGCTTTAAATGACAAAATTGCAGCTTTTTTGGTATGGGTTTAGTAATTTCTTTTCATAAAAAAATCAATCAGATTTAAAGACAAGCCAGGGTAAGTTTATTAATGGAATTAAATGACTGCAGTGACCAGTATCTGGATTGAGTAGCCATAAGATGCCCATTCTGGTCCCAAGTCATCAGCCTACATTTTGTTCTGTGTTAGGTCAAACTTGTTCTGCAGTTAGAAGGTGGAATTAGACCTCTGATAGTAAAGTGTGCTGTGCAAGTAGCATTCATAATACTGAACAAAGTAACTCAATATTTTTCAATGTTGCAGTTCTTGAATTTTTCCCCCGCTCTATTTCCTGCTGTGTTCCCATCAACATTTAAAGATAAATTATACTCAATAAAACAGTCCTTTAGAATGGTGGGGTTTTTTTACTGGGTTGTGCACCAACATATTTGTTCTCATGTATACTAAATGGATGATAAAAGGAAAAGTGGTGTGTTGCACAGTCTGTTATTTTTCAGTCTGTTATTTTTAATTAGCAAAAGAAATTGAACAGCAAGGAACCATGAGAGCTCATCTAGTTCACATTCCATGTTCAATCATATAGTAATGAATTGAATCTTAAAATTAATTATGGTAAAAACACTATGAGGGTGGGATGTTATTACTGTGTTTTGTATCTCCTCTGGAAGAAACTCAAAATGTACATACCCATCTGACTAAGTCATTCCTTGTCACCCCAAGCATGAATTTGTAATCAGGCATCCTTTCTAGCTCATGTGTTTGCCAGTATTTTTCTAATCATGGACCAAAACTCCAGTTTTTGTAGACTGTAAATAACCAAGGAGGAGTTGTTCAAAGAACAGAAATCAGTATTCTCCTGCACTTCTGTGGGAAGGTCACAAGGCTTTCCTGGGGTTTTAATTGATGTCTTACCGTAGATTATCTTAAGATGAGTTTTCTAGTCCTGATCATCACCAGTTGACTTCTTTTGTCTATGAGAAAGAAGTGAGAAATTCATAAATGTAGTTAAATAGTCATCCCCCATGTATGAAAAGATTATATAAAATAACTGGGAAAAAGGATTTTTGTGAACATTGATGCTTGGCTTAGTGTTTTTGTTTTTTTCTGTGCTGTGCTGGATGGATTGGTTGTCATAGCTGCTTCACTGTAATTTATTGTTATATAAAGCTTTCAGTTATTGCCTTACATGTGCATTTTGAATGTGTGTTACAGAAACTAATTTCTAGCACATTTAGGTAGTGATTTCTAATAACCTAAGTTGCTTGAGAATTAAATGTTGATAATATTGAGATACTGTTGTACAGAGCAAAACAATATTCTAGCATGTGGTGCTGCCACCCTTTCCCTCACCATACTGCCATGGGATTTCAGTATATTTTGCATATTTCAAGCATGTCTTTTATTTACAGCACTATCTTAAAATATCCTTAGAAACTGAGCCTGGTAAAAACAAACTGGGAATCTACTTCAGATAGAGTTCTTCCAACGTGTCACTAACAATGGCATTAAAGTGAAATTGTAAAATTTTTTTGCCTTTAGAAAAAAGAGAAAAGCAACAAAAATTCTGAAACTGTACAAAACGTAAAACAATGAACTCAAAAAATCTTGAAAGCAGTTAATGGAAAAAGATCTGTACAATGAGAGAAATAAGCTTTAGACAATGGGAAGGAGAAAAAGGAGTAACTTTTATTTGGTTTAAAATGTTTTACTTCATAACTAGGAAATAGTATAGCTCCTGCTTCTGAATTTTGTTTAAACACTGTGTGATAGGGATAAATTTCTTTAAAAAAGATCAGTTTTGATACACTGTGGTACAACTATTGGTATAAACAGAAGCAAACTGGGATCTTGGTGAGGAGGGAATCCTCTGGGAGTGAGTGGGTTGGGGTGTGTTATCACAGCTCCACTGTAGGCACTGCAGCTGTACTGACTAGTGCAAACTGAGATTTTCTTTTTTCACATACTTAATTTGATTTTACTGGAATCTCATTACTGGATCCTTAGTTCCTTCTATAGTAAATCAGATGCACTGATTTAAAATCAAACCAAACGCTGCAAGCCAAACCTAGTCTTTTAATAGAAGATGAAACAGCAGCACCCACTTTATTGAGTGTCTTCAAAAAGAAACTCTTGTGGGACAGTATCATTACACACTCCCCATTTCTTGTGACTTGTGCATAGATGAATAGGTTCTTTCATATCTGCTTACCCTTTATATCCCATTCTTCATTTCAGAGGGTTGATGCCTTTCTCAGTCATAATGTAGAATGTAAAAAATTGCAAACTGTTATATGAAGTTGGTTTGCCAGTTTGCATGAGATTTTTGGGTTCTTCATAAGTATTCAGTGTTTATATTTGGTGATAAGCCAAGGCAGCACAGTCTGTATCCACTGTGGTGTGATAACTGCACACGCCTTTCCTTGACACAGTTTTCCACAGGGAACTTGCTCTGCTTGGATCAGTTAGAGCAGCCTGACTGGCAATTTATTTTCTTTGCATAACTTCATGTATTTTTTTCCTGGAACTTGGGTCACAGAGGTGGTTGTTCTGTAAGCCTGCTGCTGCTAAGCCATTTATTAGCTATAGCAGAACCATTCTGAATTTTAATTGAAGACTTCTGAGGGGAGAGGTAGGAAATTGCCTGTTACTTGCAGGTCAGTTAAAGTGAAACTATGCTCTGTCTGCAGGAAATGTTATGAAAGAATTTAGGAAGGCAAATACAGCAGGAAAAGCTGGCAACAGCTGCCAGGTTACAGCCAGGGCTGTTACTCTACAACCATCTTGGGGCCCTCCCTGCAGCTGGAAATAACTAAAAGGAATAGTGTGGGCAAACTGTGGCATTACACTTTGTGCTGCTTTTTGCTTTCCTTGCAGGGCTCATGCACACCTCCATGACAAGAGTGAGTATAAGAAATTCTAGTTTGCTGTGCTGTTTATCTGAGCAGTCTTTGCTGTATATCAGGATTTAGCTGTAATTCATGCTTTAATATGGGATTCTGATCAGAGCAGTGAGATAAATAGTGTTGGCAACTCAGGTTGAAAACCAGCAGCCTTTTTGAATGGAAGCTTTGTGTTGTGCAGTTCAACCTCCTTAATCGGTGCTTCTTTTGAATTATGCCCTCCCCGAGGCTCTAGAAAAGAAGCTGTGCTAGGAAATGAATTGAAGCAAACCTTTTGCCAAAGCACTGTCTGGGTATTTTGGCAAACTGCAGGGCCTAAGTAGAAAGCTTGGGCAGTGTTAATACCTACTGCAGTTCTGGAGCTGTTCAAGTGAAGATTTGGTCAAAGCAGAGGCTTGGTTTTCAATTCTTGAAAAAAAACCCACCCAAACCCTGTAGTTTCGGGTTTGCTTTGTTGGAAGAGTTCAAGTGACACTTCTGAGCCACAGGCATGCTCGAAATGGCTGTGTCTTGCTGTCACAGATGAAAATTTCTGTGAAGATTTCTGTTTTGCTGTCACACATTAGTAACTTCCTGAAGAGAACAGGTTGTGGCCTATTAAATACCGCCTATTTCAGGCAGAAGTGGTGTTTTATTATGTAATGGACAAGTTCAGTTATGCCCAGAGTATTGTCAGCAAGTTATTTCTAACCTTTCCATAGCATTTATGAAACATGGAAGTGTCACATATGCTTGTGATTTCCAGGCACGTTTACTAAAAAATGGCTGAAAATCTCTGTCTCACACTGTAGCTACTACAGACTCTGAAATCAAAGGCTCAGTTTCTTTTTGAGACCTCTTAGGGGCAGATTATTCACAGCTGACACCCCTCTCAAATTCTTTGGAGTGTCCTGCTGCCAGCCTGCAGTGCCCTGACTGTCCCCACACGGCAGCAGGATGTGGGGTAGGCCCAGTGAGCTTGGCACCTGCAAGGTGGTTTTTAAAAGTTTGGAAGAAGTGAATGCTTTCAGTTTTTAGATTTTTAACCTTTTTATTCCTCTTATTCTGCTTTTTCATGTGTTTGTTTAGTCTAGCTGTCTGCTGGAGGTTTTTACGTCCTGGAAAACTAAATAATTCCTTAAAAGAAAGACTCAATTCTATGATACTATATAATCCATATTATCTTCCCCTCTATCCTTCAGTGGCTATTTCTGAGGGCAGAAATAGAAGTTTACTCTTTTTTCCTGACCCTTTTGGAGTTGAAAGTGTTGCTGAATGAGTGGGTGGTCAAACTCCTGGATATTTCTCTCCAGCTTTGTGGGTGAAATCCTGGTGGCTCCTGTTTTGTCTCAAAGAGTTGGAAACTCTGTAAATCAGTGTAAGACTGTCATTCATAATTCCTTGATGCTGTCCAGAGCAGCTACAGTGCAGTGATATGTTACAAATGTTGAGGTTAGGCTGTGAGTAAGCAGGGAGGTGGGTCCCAAAGTGGTCAGAATTGTCACATTAAGGAAGGATGCTGGGCATCACTCTGAATTTCCTGTTTTTAAGCCAGTGGAAAAGCATAGCTTGTTAACTTGTAAGTCATTGTGGCTTAATGTGTTAATTAGAGAAAGAATTGAATGGTTGAAATGGAGCAAGTAGTATGGAACTGTTTAAAACAAATTTAAAAATTCTTTCTTTATTTTGCCCAGTGTATTCTGGAATTTATTTGCATTATACAGATGTTTGCTTCACTGCTCTGACTTGAAAGCAGCTTCTGATGAGAGTGCAAAGAGGCAAAAGCTGTTGTTCCTAGGAGGGGTAGGAGGGGGTAGAGGTAGAGGTCCTCCGAGGGAGTTCAACTGTTTCCATCACATACCATTGTAAATCTTTATTTATCTACAGTATTTTCTTACCATGAAGCATGAAAATGTTAGGAACTAATGAGGGAACAGAGAGGATGCTGTGCTTTTTACAGAGAAATTGAAACCACACAGAGATCCGTGTGGGGAGTGTTGGACTATCATCTGCAACATTCCTGGGTTTATTTTTCATTTTTTTCCAGTTCCATGCTGCTTTTCATTCCTTTATGTAACTGAGTTATTCTTTGAAATCCAGCCTCCTTTTTGTTGGTTTGGTGATGCTGAAATGCCAATATAGTTACAAAACTAACTGTTTTTTCATTTCCTTTCTTCTCCATTCCTAGTTTCCCCTGATTTCCTGGAAACAAAATCCAGAATCTTCTGTTTCCTTGCCCGGCCTGTTGTGCAAGGTTCTTACCACATCTGCAGACCTGTTGCTTCCCTTTCGTGCCCCCTTTCTGGGTAGGATCATGATTTTATGCCTGGCATCTCCCATTATAACTCATTCTCACAGTGCTTTGTGTGCCTGTCAGTTCCTCTTGCTCTGCAAAATGCTGCAGTTGCAGTGATGCTGACAAGTGGTTATAGAGCACCTTCTGCTGATTAAAGTGACAGCATTTGGAGGCTAAAACCTCACAGCTTTTTTTTTTTTTGTACCTATTTTTGCAGACTCCTGTATGTACCTTGAGCACCCTTAAAATTACTTAGATCTTTCTGAGAAAACATAATCTTTAGGCATTGATCCTGCAATTCCTCTACAGATGAAACTAAAAAGATCGTAACAGTAAAATGTCAGGTAAAGCAATTGAGAGTAACCAAAAGATAAATGCTTAGAGCACCTGAAACTCTTCCTCTCGTTTGTGAGAGGAAGGGCTGTGTTCCTTCTTGTTATTTATGTTACAGAAAGGCCCCAGAAGTCACAGAAAGTGTCATTTTGGCCAAAACTAAAGCAAGCCGTGGGTGATATATTTTCCCAAGAAAACAAAACCAGTGCAGCTCAGAACATTTCAGTGAAGTGCTTATTTATTAACTCTCCTCCTCCAGCATAGCAGTTACTTGAGTTAATAAAAATTATTGTCATCATTTTCTTATATCACATTTGTACGTATCTGGCAGCTTTCAACAAAAGGCACTTCTAATGAAGCCTTGACTAAGCAGGAACATGATTTAACTCTGTCTCTTGTTTCGACAGAGCTGGCAAGTGTCTGCTGGTGACCAGTTCTTCAAGCATTAAGGTGCTGCTGGAGCCTTAGAGCAGGGTGAGGCCACTCTCTGTGCTCACCCACGCTAGGCAAGAATGTGGTTACTGCTTTGCTGGAGTGTCGTGGCAGTGCTGGTGTGACAGGATTAGTGAACTTACAGGTCCAGATCACTTTCTCAGTCCTTCTGCTGTGACAGATGAAGTGACACATAAAACAGCTGTTGAAGTTGTTTTAAGGTTGTGTAGTGCCTGGGTGAAAAATTTTTGTAGTATGAATTTATGTGCACTTGCAGAATGATCAAATCTGTCCAAATGCATTATTGCCATGTGCTTGTGTTTACACATTATCCACTGAGAGATGTGCAGTATCTTCCTTTTCTGTCTGTGTGGGATTTGCCCAATGCCCATGTCAACCCTCTAATCACAAGCCTGCAGCCTCTACAGCAAGAAAACAGCAGTTTGCATTAAAAGACTGCTGTATCCTCCTCACACCTGAGATAAAGGATGTAGAGCTGTGAATGGAACTGAACAGCTGTGATCCATATAATCCAGCATTAATGCATTTTTGTATGAAGACCCTTGTTAGGAACGGTGTAATTGTATTGAGGAGTGTGGGTGGTTTCGCAGAAACTTTAGATCTGCTCCTGGGTAGGCCCTGCACAAATCTCTCTTGAAATGCTGTTTGCCTCTAGGAATAAATGGGACATGTGAACTGTGTAATTGCTTCCCAGCCCTGCTGTCAGGCAGCACCCTCCTTAGACACAGAGACATGGGGCACACCTCTTTATCTCGGAGCACCCGTCAGCTCAGTGCAAACAGGTGACACGTAACCTCCTGGCTGTGTGCTGAAGGGGTGGTGCTAGAGAAATACTCCTACTGAAAGTAATATCTCCAGTGTGCCAACTATTCCTATAGCAGAGTTTGGGGTAAGTGGTGTACCTTACTCTAAATTGATGTGCTTGAGGACTGTCTGATTAGGGGCATACACTGTATGTGTGTACATGTTTCTGTTTGCAGCTCAGTGCCTTTCTTTTTTCTTTTCCTTATGTTTTAATTTATTAATCTCTTTTGCCTTCTTCCTTTTTTCTTCTCTTCATCAGCTCAGTAGCAGCACAGGAGTTGCATGTTCTGTGTTAAGGCCAGTTCAGGAAGCATATATTCCCTGTTCTCATACTGCGTGGGGGAAATCCTGCATTGCCAAGCCAATTTCCTTAATTCATACAGGAGCAAAACTGCCATAGTCTGGAATGTTTTATCACACAGTAGAGTTGTGATATTTGTGCCTTGGAGGAAAAAATATGAGCCTGTTAACGCTGATGCCTGTTAATGTGAGAGTATCTTGGACTAGGAAATCCAGGGAACAAGAGGAGCACTTTGCACAGTGTCCCTTCTTGATAAGTCACGGTCTGGATGTGTGTGTATGTGGAGGCTCCAGAGCAGCAGCTGGACAGGCACAGCTCAGGTGGTGGCTGTGTGGCTCCTGTCAGCAGTGGAAAAGGCCAGTGCAGTTTTTCCAGCACTTGCTCATAGCTCTTGTCCCTCTGCATACCAAGCAAAGTGCAAAGCCAGAGCTGAATGGGATTTAAGGAGGGATTTACAGCAGGCAAAACTGTGGAGGGCTTGATGTGGAGCTTAAAACTGTGTCCATTTGATTTTTATTTTTTTTAACCAAGGGGTTCTTACTCTTTTGAGCAAGATTTGGGCATGATTTTCTTTTGGTGACCTGATGAATTCTGTTTGTATCATCAATTTTCTCTGAATCTTCTACCTACTCTCCTGATATGCAAGGTGTACAGGAATGTGGAAGGAAAAACTGGAAAGTGTGGAACTATAAGGCTTAATTTAAAAAAAAACCAAACAACAAAACCAAAATTGGAAGAAAAAGTTGGGATGGGGTTTTAGTAACAGGGCCATGACTTTTAAAAACTCCACAGCAGTTTTTGCTATGAATGTACTTTGCTGGGAATATATTCTTATTTCTGTTATGTGGAGCTGGATGTGTCTGGACATTAGGACGCAGGTCTCGGAAGAAGAGGGTGGAGATCACTTTTTAAATATTTGTACAGGGAGGAGGACTAGGCTTGAAACTGCTGTGAAAATAGCTCTTTGCATGTCTCCAAGGATAGGTTAACTGTGCAGGGTTTCACAAGAACCACTCCCTGGAGATATTTGAATAATAGATTGACATTATGGGGTGCAGTGAGAGGTGTGTGCATTTCAAAAGCCAAAGGAGAAAATTTCCTTTTCAAGCAAATCCTTTAGAAGGCATTTTTATGCCCTTCCTCTGAAGGGCTCCTGGTCTTCTGTCAGTCCTCTGGAAATTGTATTTGTAACCAGCCATAGGGAGTATTGAGGTTTAAGTGGGCTGAATGATGTGGCATGTTTGGACGGACAGACAGACATTGCAAATCAGATATGACACTAGGAATACCTTTAGGTTTTACTTCCCCAAGGTCTAACCTTGATCCTTCTGTTTTGGCCAGAGCTTTAACCCAGCCCTGTCCAGTGGAAGGACGCAGCTGAAACATAACAGTTCCCTACAGCTCCATGTAAGAGCTGTAGTGCCCTTCCTTCCTCTGTAAGGTCTTGCACAGGGTGCATGATAAATTAGCTTTCTTATGACATAAATTAGCAGGGATTAGGTGGCACTATCATTTGTACTTTTTATTAGAAGTATGTTCTATATACCCACAGTTAGCTAACACAATACCAACAAGACAAGGCAAATACCTCTGTACAGGTGGGATAGCACAATAAAAGGCAGGAAGGTAGCTTGTCTTTGTATAATATACTGGCCCTGAGATTTAAGTCTTTTAAAGCAGCAATTAATTTAGGGATATCAAAGCTGAAAGAACACATGCTTAAGTAGAGGTTGAGCTTACACAGCTCTTTGCCCTTGGAGAACATCTGAGGGCAAGGGAAACACCATGTAAGAGATGGAAGTCTAAATCAAATGCAGTCTTTAGAAAAAAACCTTATTTGTTTATTTTTTAAACTATTTTTCCCTTTCTTCTAGTGCATTTCAGTGAAAGGACTTTGTAGAGCTACAAGGTTTGCAGTCTGGTTTTACCTCTTTTTCCTTCCCCAGCAGGGGACAGGATTTAAAAAATGAAACAAAACCCTCAAAATCACTTTTGCTGATCCATGTGAGTCTGTCTAATGGATTGGGTTTTTTAATTTCTTCTAAAAGTGCTCTTATGGCAGTGTGGCTACCTGTTTAACTTGCTTACTTGAACATGCTGCTCCTTCAGCCCTGTGTGGTGGATGCAGGCTGCAGTTGTGGTGAATTTATGTGAAAAGCTCACTGATAACTATTCCTGCAGTGTTTACCCTTTCAGTCTTCTGCTCTATTGCAAAGCTTTGGTTAAAACACGACGAGGGGAAGTGAATTAGCTGGCTGTGCTGTAGTAGTGAGTGTGACCTCTGTCACCTAAAACTCCTTTCCTGCAAGGTTTTACTGGTGTTGATGGCACACTTTAAAATATGCCTGGGCTGGGGAAAGAGAGACTTCAGCCCTGAAAAAGGAAAAAAAGTGTCAGGTGCTTTCCACTGACTCTTTGGTTGGAGAGTATCTGGGGTAGATCTGCCCATGGTCTGCATTTGGCTGTGGTAAGGTGAGCCATGGCTGAGTCAACTTGTCACAGTTCTGTGACCAAGAGCAGGACTAACACCAAGGTGAGGCTTTAGAGACAGTTCTGATTTTTGCTGAATGGTGGTGATTGACACCCACATATTGGAGATGCAGAGTTTGTTCCAAACCTCAAGCTGTGAGTTGATATTCAAGAAACGAATTGGTGTTTTGCCATTGATGCAAACTGCTGCAGTGCTTTACTTGAAATGAATGGCTTTATCTAGTTCAAGCTACAAGTAGTTCCAAAAATACTTATTTACAGTTGAAACAGCGGATTTTACACTTTGAAAATTTTATTTCATCATCTAATTTTTTGTATTTTGGTATCTATTTTCATCCTTCATAAGAGGCAGTTTTATGCCAATTTTATGTGGCTTTATGAATGGTTATTTTAGGCTTATCTTTTTACGTTCTTGTCTTTGAACACGACAGAAGGCAGCTCTCTACTGTTTGTTTTGGGGGAGGAGAGGCTCAGTAGCTACTCAACAGGAAAGTACCAATGCACTCATATCAGCCTTTGTAGTACACAGGAAATTTACCAGTGATTTTTGTTACACATTCTAGCTGTTCCTGCACGTAGATCAGACTACACATAATATGGTTATTTTTTCAAAGGCACGAAAAGGAGAAAGAGAAATTTCTTAAATGTGTATGAGCCATGGAAAAAATGTATGTGTTGTTTAATGGCAATTCAGGATCAAGATTTAGTTTGAATGGTTAACTAGCATCATGATAAAAACTTT